GCACACAACATCGGCTCCGTACCAAGCTCAAAGTAACGGACAGGCTGAGAACTCGGTTAAGTATGCTAAGTCAAAGTTAAAATGTGCATTTAGGGAAAATGTAAATACTTCTGTAGCCTTAAGTAGAATCCTTTTTGACTATCGCAATTCTGTGCACATGACCACTAATGAGACACCTGCTATGTTAATGTTTAACAGACCTTTGAGAACCCGATTAGACCTACTCAGACCTAATTTGTCTGAGACCGTAAATAGACAACAACAAGCTCAAAAGATGTATGCTAGGGGTAGTAAGACTCGATATCTGTTTGAAAACCAAAATGTATTGATTAGAGATTATTGATCTAAGGATAAGTGGATTGAAGGATGTGTGGTTAGACAGATAAGTCCAACTATGTATATAGTTAAGTTAAGTTCGGGTGTTACGTGGAAAAGACACATTGATCAGCTGATAGCTATCGACAGTGGCCCAGTGTTGACATCAGATGCAGACAACAGGCCCACGGCAACTACAGTCATCGCGCGCCCAGCTGTTCAGAGTACACCAGCTGAGCGTGACGTCAGTCCTATGACGCACGAGCTTCCGGGACATAGTACGCGCTCGTCCCTCTCTCCCACCACTCCGCGGCGCTCTATGGTTCCACAAACAGCTGATCGCAACTCACCACCAGCTGTACACCGTACACCTGTACAACATCGTACGTCCACTACACCACAGAGACGTTATCCCATGAGAGCTAGGAAACCAGTCGAGAGAATAGATTTATAATTAGTTTGTTTTGTTGTCATATAAAGGTTGTTGTGTTTGTGTGTTGTTAGGTTGTTTTATTTATGTATTTGTTTGTCAGCGTTTATATTCTATCTGTTTACTGATACTGAAATTGAAAAATAATTATTGGTCACATTTTATGGTCAGATTTAAAGGGGAGGAATGTAATATATTTATATAAGTAATATAACAGTTTTTACTATTTAATAATTTACAAGGCTATGTTGGCAATATTTAAATATGTACGTTGAACTGTAACCGTTTGTATTTCCCACTACCAGTTAATAATATTTGAATAAACGAATGCTATTGGACGATCGGGTCACGCCACTTCCCCAACCCATGAGTCCATGTTAACCGACCCCTCTACACCTCAGTTATAGCCAGCTTCCATCCTGAGTAACTCCGGCCCGTTCGGTCGTTAGCAGTTTACAGTGTTAAACCGTAGTGCTTATTAACTTCCCGATTCCCGTAGTGTAAGACGTCAGGTCGACGTAGTGACTTAGTTACAGTGTATAAGGATAGCACCGTGTCAACGAAGGTACGTCAGGGTGAAGACACTTCAGTTAACGACAACATTTTATCAAAGAAAAATTAATTAGATAACAATATAACAATAAGCTGTTGAATTATTAACACATGTTTCGTGATTAGATTATGCATACTGGTAAACCAATTACTGCCATCTATAAAATAATTGGTTGTTCTTTTCCGAGTCAGGTTAGCTCTTCTACCCGACCGATTTTCATAATTTTGGCCTTACACTAAAGGTATGGACGTACTGCGGATTTGCCATCAAGCATAGGCATTCATTTTGACGTATATTTCGAGTTATGTACAAACTGCCTCCCTGTACATTTCTTATGGGAGTTAAATTTGGTTTTTTTCGAGTTCAATGTTTCGCAGGCGGGCGATGGTTTACAGGAGGGCTCTTCTACCTGCCCGATTTTCATAATTTTGGTCTTAAATTAAAGCTATGCAAGCACATATTTGTCATCAAGCATCATCATTTATTTATCTAATGTATTACTCGACGAAAGATTTTTTTCTCTCTTCAATTAAAGATGTATTCCACCAGTTCTAATTTCATTATACATTTTGGTCTAAAAACCTTAGTGAAATACCAGCTTTCATTTGAGCTATTGATTATTAAGATCGGACTACCTAAAGCACACTGCTGAATCACGAATCAACAATAAATACAATCGTTTTAGTACCTACCTACCTATCAATGATACGTAACTCTAATTTTATTTAAGTTATTTTATATGTCTTGGTCTTAAAATACTTCAAAGGCTTTCACTTGAGATATTGATAGTTTTAATTAAGTTAAAGTTAAGTTCAAGATACTGTATCGCTCAATCAGAAAATATAAATTTGATTATATCTTGGATATGGAATTTAGTTTTAGATACATTTACTTAATTCTAATTACGTTATTCTATTTGTTTTGACCTAAAAACCTTCATTGAAATACCAGCTTCCATTTCATTAAAGCACGCAGCTAAATCACGACCTACACAAATTGTTCAAAAAGTGGAGTTATTTATCATCGATTTATAGCCAAACGATCTTGCTTGCAGCCTCAACAGTACTTTCATAATTATTTGCAAATCTCCACAAATTAGGCTATCCAATGACCCATTAATTAAAAAAATCGGTTCAGTAGAACTGTAGATTTAATTGTACAAAGTTTAACAACGACATCTTTAATTCAGTATTTTCTCACTACTATGAACCTGGAGGTTGTTTAACGTTTTTTGCAAATAACTTTGAATGGGCGAGGAAATCGACCAAAGTGGAAGGTGATATTCTGAAAGAGAATAAAATTTCCTACAAAAATACTATTATGAATTTTTTGAATATACTCAATACAGGCAGCCTAAAGTTGGCTACAAATATAAAATTGAAAACATAAACCTAGAATAAAAGGAGTTTTAAATGTATTATTTTTTATTTTTTTACCTTAAATGTCTAATAAAATCAAACTTTCATAATTATTTGCGAATCTACACAAATTAGGCTTTCCAACAACCGATTAAGTAACAAATTTGTTCCAGTAGAAGTCTAGATTTAGTTGTACAAAGTTTAACAAAAACATATCTAATCCAGTATTTTCTCACCACTATATATTTGGAGATCACTTAGATTATTGCCAATATCTTTTAAATGGAGGGGAAATCGACCAAAATGAATGTGATATTCTGAAAGAGAATAAAATTTACTACAAATAACTACTATGCAATTCTTGAAAATACATAATAAAGGCAGCCAAAAACTGGCTACAAATAGAATCTTGAAAACAGAAACTTGAAAAACCCAGTTTTTAATGTATTTTTGTTATTTTTAATTTTTCACCACAAATATTTAATAAAATCACAATTTTATAATTATTTCAAATCTACATGGGTTAGGCTTCCTAATGACCCATTAATTAACACAATCGGTCCAGTAGAAGTCTAGATTTAGTTGTACAAAGTTTAACAAAAATATTCCAAACTCAATATTTTCTCATTACTATAAATTCGGAGGTTGCTTAGCTTTTTTGCAATAGTATATTTCGTACCTAGGGCCGAAAATGAGGTTTTGCCGGCTCGAGATAGTTTTTAAGTTCGAGACGAAGTCGAGAACTTAAATCGATCGAGAGCTGCAAAACCATTTCGGTCCGTGGTACGAACACTATTTTTCACCACACTTTACCCTATTACCACTATTCACCACTATAATAATGCACACTGATAGTCAACACAACTACAACTTTAAGGTTATGTGAAGAAATAATTTGAGGAATCAGCAAAAATAAAAATAAATAGTTGCTAGGCAACGGTGACAATAACACAATTCTATTGCAATGCTATGGATTTTGATTGTGTATTTAAAATGCATTCATGTTTTAAGTAAGTAAGCGGACAGCTGATTTTGCGGCCCCGGCCTGTAAAAACCTGCTCGGTCCCCAAATTATGGACAGCTGGCATCGCCAGCAAAACGTAACTTTTGGCCACCAATTAACGTATGTAATACAGCCAAAAACATGATAGTGTGGTGAAAATAACTTTTAAATGGTGAGGAAATCGACCAAATGGAAGGTGATATTCTGAAGGAGAATAAAATTTCCTACAAATTGATACCATGCACTTCTTGGAAATATTCAAAAATGGCAGCTAAAAGTCGCGCCCAAATAAAAAGTGTGAAAAACACCGTTTTCAATGTATTTCTTATGGAAAGCACGTTTTCTTTAATTTATGACCATAAATCATAACAAAAACAAACTTTCATAATTATTTGCAAATCTACACGACTTAAGCTTTCCAACGACCCATTAATTAATAAAATCGGTCCAGTAGAACTCTAGATTTAGTTGTACAAAGATTTTTAAAACTGAATTATATATAGAATATATTATTGCAAATTACATGTATACTTCAATGCAAAATGCATGAAAGAAGATCCCATGAAACCAAAAGGTTGGTTTAAATTTAATGAAAGATTATTACTTTGTTCGTAGATAAAGTCTCCATCGAACTGACGTCCCAGTAAAGCAGGCTAATTCAAATAAGACACCTGAATTCGTATTACTTGCGTTTTTTTAAATATCTTTCATCCAATTGATTTTTATCTATTTAGTTACAAGAAATATAAAAAAATTACCTCTAATTCTTACAGAAGGCACCTGATGTCAACATCTACGTATAGGAAGTTCATGTGTGATCCTCTTGAAAAATTTAACACGCACGAAAAGTCGGAAAGATCTAAAACAGAATCAAAGAATTATTAACATGCATCCTAACTTGACCGGCACACACTTCTAATTACTAGTGTAAAATGATTCTACTATTTTTTGTGGTCCCACTAATATAAGATTATTAGTCATGGAAATTCTGTATTTGTTTGGTATTCAAAAACATAGTTTCAAAAATTGACAGTTTCATATTGTTCTGTGATTGGGTTTGTGTGGTCTCAGTGGTCAACAGCTATTGATATCAGTCACCGATCCATAAAAAAGGGCATGACTCTTATCTGTTTTTAACTAAATGTTCTATCCATATCGTCTAACAGGTTATAGTCTTTATGTAGTTTAGCATTTCGCTCCACCACTGAAAGAGTTTCCTTGAATCTTATGTGGGAAACAGATCAGCTCAATATGGCAAAAATGTTAAAAATTCTTAAGAGACATTTTACAGTGTCCATGTGTGTAACAACTTTTAACAATTGATTTCTTTGTTTCAATTAGGATATTCACCTTTGAGATCAAGGAGCCTGACTTTGGGGCAGAATACAGCTGCATCAAAAGACTTGCTAATCATTCGCAGATACCGCAGTGATATTCCTACAAAAAAATACGTCAAGAGGTTAGACATAATAACCACATTTACTAATTAATACATTTCTTGTACAATCAACCTAGTTTAGAATTTTATTTAGGCAGTTAAATGTGTGGTGTGTTTACAGTGAATAGTGAATAAAAATGGTGAATTTGGTTTTTACCTAACAACTTATTCATTGACATATAAAAGTACTACCATGGAGGTAGTAATTCTTCTTCTTTTACAACATTTTGAATACTATGACAAGCCTTATTGTCCTAAAGCTTTGATTTGTATTCAGAATAAAGAATGTATTCTTCTATTGAGAAGAAAGACATTTTTATTTATTTAAGTAAAGTTGGCTGAATCAAGTCTTTGAACATTATACGGGAAACAGATCTGCTCAACAGAGCAAGAACCTATCTACAAAATAAGCTAATGACCTTAATATTATGTAGCTTAAGAAACCTTTTACAGTGCCAATGTACGTAACAGCTGTTGATTTGTTTGTTTCTATTAGGATATGAAACCTTGGCTACTCACCTGGCACCAAAGTGCTGAAGGAGATGGACGTTGTGAAGGCTATAGTTGCGTTGATTGACAGACACCACAGTGATATGCCTGCAACAATGCACGTCCAGAGGTTAGACAAACACCAAACTTACTTTTATACTACAATATTGATTGTTTGTTTCTGTTTATGACTGATTTGTAATCTAAAAATAATTTTAAATATCATTATACCTCCGCCGCAGCAAACCTGTGGACTAAGCCAATTTCCATTTGCCTATCTAGATTCCCAATAAAATATTACCTTAAAATTACCAGATTTATTACCTTTCAAATAACCTTAATATTAATGAACACTTAGCTTTGCTGCTACAGGAAAGATGTTTTTTTAATTGAATCGTTGAAAACTTTGTATGAAATACAAAAATTTTCCAAATTGTATTACAATATACAATTTGTATATCGGTGTCCTACCGCGGTGTCATGTCGTGCAGTGTGAAAACGGACATTGGCGGAGAGGGCAAACATACCCTCCTTCGCCGTTACCTAAAAATTTTGCGCAGGTTGTTTTCTAAGCGGCCGACCTATATTATGTTATTGTACATTATACTGTTGATATGTTGAACTATTAACAGGAGTGAAACAATAAGCTATAATTTGCTGATTTTGCAACAGTATGACAAAAAGTATACTGTATTATGTTTTAGAAAGAAGGAAACTCCTCATGTTTTAGCTCAAGAAACCTTTTACAGTGTCAGTATATGAAACAACCATCGATTAATTTGTTTCTAATAGGTTATCAAACATAGGATATTCACCTGCGACTTAAGTGTTGGAGGAGGTTGACGTAGTGCAGGCTACAGTTGCGTTACTTCCCTCGATAAACTTTTGCTACGATTGACTGTCACCTCAGTGATATGACTGCAACAAGGAATGTCAAAATGTTAGACGTACAACATACTTACTATTAAATAATTATACTACTATTAATGCTATTACTTTAATTCAAATGGCTCTGCCGTTGGTATGTACATATAAATAGATAAATAAATTCTTTGATATCAAACCAAACAAGTCTAGAGTGTCCTTTCTCTTGTTGTTGAAAAAAATTACAAAAACATTTTTGCAATATTGAAGACAATTTTGTTAAAAATTACTATAATATTGCTTAGTTGTTCATCATAACTGAACATTGATATTATATTTTATTTAATTATTTAAAAAATCAAACAAAATTACCTTAGCACTTATTGCAAGAGGTGGAGCTTATGTGATCTTCGTGTAGAAAGTTCCAAGATATCAGAAAGAACTATACGAATTTCCATTGATAGATAAGTCGCTCAATACAATTTGAAAATCTAAAACAAAGTCTAAAAAGACAAGATTTAGAAGAGGGCAAGAGTTATATTAATTACACTAGAACCTATAAGAGTAATTATTTTGTTCCTTTATTCATACTTAGTTTTGTTGTATAACTTTTTGTCTCTACTCTACTAGTGTTTGCTGTAGATTTCTCTACTAAAAATTTGGCTCAGAAGATATGAGTTCCAAAATTTTTCTTTCACTATAATTTCACATTGTCTGTGATTTTTTCCAGACTATTTCCATATGTAATAGAGTAGTAATATAAAATGGTAATACTTGGAACTTGTGTTTGCTAGAGATTCATCACCTGAAAATTTGGCTGAGAAGAGTTATGAAGGAACAACAAGAGGTGTACGATACCTTCTGAACTCTGAGATGAACTGATTTTAGAGTCTGAAATAAATGTAGTGCTAGGAGTCTGCAAGATTACAGGTCATCGGTTCCCCTCGTAACAAATCCACAAGCATGCACGTTAAAGTTTGATAGGACAGGACCCAGAAAACTTGCAAACTGCAGAATCATAGAACTGCATAAATAACAGTCCCGTGTATCGGTCCGTTCCAGGGTAGACAAGGCTATAAATGCAAGCTATAAATACGGCAAGCTACAGGCAAGCAATATGTACATGCAAAAAAAAATAGGCAATAACATGCAATAAATAAATACAGACAATAATACAGGACACAAACACACGGTGCTCAAGACCTTCTGAACTCTGGGATGAACTGACTTTAGAGTCTGAAATAAATGTAGTGCTACGAGTCCACAAGATTACAAGTCATCGGTTCCCCTCGTAACAAATCCACAAGCATGCACGTTAAAGTTTGATAGGACAGGACCCAGAAAACTTGCAAACTGCAGAATCATAGAACTGCATAAATAACAGTCCCGTGTATCGGTCCGTTCCAGGGTAGACAAGGCTATAAATGCAAGCTATAAATACGGCAAGCAATAACAGGCAAGCAATATATACATGCAAAAAATAACAAGCAATATATACATGCAATAAATGGACACAAACACACGGTGCTCAAGACCTTCTGAACTCTGGGATGAACTGACTTTAGAGTCTGAAATAAATGTAGTGCTACGAGTCCACAAGATTACAGGTAATCGGTTCCCCTCGTAACAAATCCACAAGCATGCACGTTAAAGTTTGATAGGACAGGACCCAGATAACTTGCAAACTGCAGAATCATAGAACTATATAAATCACAGTCCCAAGTGTCGGTTCGTTCCAGGGTAAATAAGGAATTGTTGACTACTTGTTGTATTTCATAACCTTTCCAGACCAAAGTACCCCTTAATTTCTTCGTAGTTCATATCACCACTATAATATGTGTTTTAACAACTTTGATAACTGCTATTGCAATTCTTTTTAGCCATTTGTCAAACAACCAGTTCTAGTTGACCAGTATTTCTTCTGTGTGTATCTAAGAATCAATCTAAAGGGTGATTGCCAAAGACCCACCCTGTATAAAAATAAAGGTAATACTTTTAGTATGACAGTAACTAAAAACCTGCAAACAGGGGAATCCAGATTGCTGCTTCCTTCACACTATCGAGTCTTGAATCACCTTAGTGTTGAGATGGTACGGTTGATCTTTATTTACGGTTCATAACTCGTCCAGGTGAGGTATTAACAGTGAGATATCTGCAACAAACAATGTTTTTAACTATTATTTCCGAATAATTGACATACTCAAACCAATGTTTTGACATGATTACAAAAGTAGTAATTACGTATGTATGTAGTAATTACTATTGTTGGGGTCAGCTCCGACGGGGAGTTTTAAAAGTTAAGTCATGTTTTTGAGAGAATGAGTAGAGTTCAGTTTTGTTCTATCAGAATAACTTGGGAGTCAAAGGGGTTGTCGTTTAGTCATCATTTTTGAGTAAAAAAGGAGAAGTTCATTCTCTTATTCAGGTTTCAAAGGTTTAACGTAAAACAGGGAACCTAGATTAGCGAATGCGCTGCCTCCAGATCGGTTCTGTAGTCGGCTCTCACATTGTAGTTATAATAGTCTTATTTGTAGGTTTGCTGTTTGTTTTAGAGCTCAATTGAAATAAAGGCTTGATTGTTATATACGATTTGACTTCTTGAAAGAAGGTTCCGCGATGTACCGCTAGAGCATTCTCTGTGTTCGATTCGCTGCCGTCATTACTATATGGCCGTGAAATCTGGGCTTTAACAAAGTATTCAGAAAGAAAGGTACTTACGTATTATACGGAGGCCACTTATTTTACAGCGCGCTGCGGTGGTTAGGTTAGGTTGGTCTATTATAAATATGTTTGTAGGACTTTCCTACTTTCGTTATGAATCGAACCAGACAAGTCATAAAAGCTTCATGATGACCAAACCTAACCGCCGCAGCGCGTTGTAAAATAAGTGGCCTCCGTATAATACGTAAGTACCGAAAGAAAGCTAATTACTTTTGAAAACAAAGTATTAAGGAAAATATACGGACCTATTCATGAAGCAGGAGTGTGGAGGATAAGGAAAAATAGTGAACTGAGAGACTTATATCATGAGCCAGACCTAATTGCTTTAATAAAGAGTAAACGATTGAGGTGGCTAGGCCACGTTTTAAGAAGGGAAGAGTCTAGTTAAACAGGTATACATGGGTAGACCAAATGGTAGAAGACCCAAAAGAAGGCCAAGACTGCGTTGGAGAGACCAAGTCTTGAAAGATGTTGTAATGGTCAAATTGTGTTAGGGGTAAATTTTGTTGTTTTATATACGCGAACGATTCGAGCGCGGCGATTCATCACGACGGCAACAATGATCCACTTGGTCAGTGTCTTACATAATTCGTGACTTGGCCGCCGCGACCTCGGGGCGCTGACATAGACGTGGTGGGGAGAAGCCGAGACCAGCGGACAGTGGTCTTTTCTTGAGACAGTCGATGGCGAGCGCTTGTTCAGTTCGCCAAACACCCTCCCTCAAGAGCAGGCAGTCGGCGGCGAGCAATAGGTTTGCGCACACCAACCTTCCTTAGGCTGTGCGAGCAAACCTAATAAAGTATCCGGACGAAGGCGTGAGTAACCTGGATGCAAATCTGGAAGTATCGTGTTACGTAAGTACACTGTATATAGCTAGCGTATACGTTGTATCCCTCCTCGTATCCACTTTGGCAAGGGAAATTACGTTATTTATTAGGCTATTCTAGGCCGTTCATCGTAGTTTATTATAGAATATCGTAGTTTATCGACCGACGCTGCGAGTGTAGTGTCGCAGTAGCCTACGCCTTCTTTTAGGTATCCACAGCGGTTTTGTTTTATTTCAGATCAAGAGTTTTTATTTATTTTCCTTAAAGCCAAGAAGAATTGGCATATAAGCTTTCTACGTTTTATTTTATTTCATTATTTACTTATCGCGAGTTAGCGTCGTTTTCTTTTAATTACGAGAAAATTATTTTAGTTTTATTTTGAGAACTGATTCCTTTTGTTAGGCCTAGAAGCTGGTCAAGTAATTTAGTTCACATCGAAGTATCGTATTTAGTGCCGATATATTCTTAGTCAGTACGTCGTTGTGGTGACATACAACCATAGTATACTCATGCGTGTAGGACGACGAAGGTACCATCTACGAAGATCGAGAAGCGGTTAGCAAGCGACGGATACTGTTAGCGAGAACCCTGGACTACTCGAGCTGTCTGAGCAAATCGGAGGTAAGTTTAGGATAGGTGCCCCTACCCGAAATAAACACCTCACAAAGTGGCGCCTCCGAACAGGGACATTGAAATTTTCTTTATTATTGTAATATTCATACGTACTTCACGTATTGGCGCCCGAACGGTAGAATCGATTCTTGTAGTGATTTTTCTTTGGAATATAAGAAAAAGCGAAAATGGTAGGATCGAGTGTGAGCGCAAAAACTACGCCTAAAACGGTCAGAGCGGTGACTGAATCGACAGCGACAACCACGACTACGACTGCCGGGTCTTCACAAGTTCAAGTAGCACAAACTATTTCACAACCAACTGTGCTGTGCCATCGAATTTAAGTTTTCCCACTACGACCGCAGAGGCTACTCAGCCTCAAGTAGCTACAACTACGTCACAGTTAATGGTACCAACAACTTTAAATTTACTTACTATGACTGATCGTACGTTGACGTCTAAGAGTCCCTAAGAGGATGACCTGCGAATTGGGTGGATTCACCCGTTAACCAAGGATGAACTTCGTTACGAAATGAGTCGATACGGTTTGCCTAATATGGGGACAGTCAAGGAACTTCGAAAATCTTTTTGTAAATTTTGGAAACATGGCATTCCCCAAGCAGTGTACGGTAAGGACGTGAATGTTAGCGTGGACGGTGTGTCTGCACTTCCACTCGGCTATGACACGGGATATGTCGACTCGCGAACGGGTGACAGTGACATACGAAGTGCGGAACTTGACAGAGTACGGGATCTGTCGTTCGTTATCAAGCCTAACGATGCACGCTGATAAGGCCAACAATCAGGCTAGTAATTATCCAGTCAATATAACACAATCAGATCGTTTTAAAAATTCCGAGGGGTTCCAGACCAGGTGTCAACTATGCTTTCGACACTTCCCACCCTACAGATTCGATTCATCGACCTACGGTGTCCGGTACCGGTCAGCGACCGTACGGTGGGTTCGCGAGCGAGCAACTAGGTATTCCT